TTTTTGATTGGGTAGGATTAAACTGTGGAAGACAACAATAACTTTTGTTACAATCGGTAACTTTGAGAGTAATTATTTTAGTAAATCGTGTTAGGCAGCCTACCCGGCATTCATGACAAAATCTTCAGGAGACCAACTCAACCCCAGGTTAATAACCCTTGGTCTATAAAGAAATCCTTTAACCACATATTATAGAAAACTACATTTCGATTATGCAAACGTTACTTAAGCCTGGTTGATTTACTGATTGGCAAAATTGGTCTTGGTTTTGCAGTATTGGTCTTAGTGTTGCGAAGATACAAGACTAGGAGTAAGACCAAGACTGTTTTTATACTAGCAACAAGATTAAGACTAAAACCAAGATCGAACGAACAAGATCAAAATTAAAACCAAGGCCGAATGAACAAGACTAAGACTAAAACCAATACCGAACGAACAAGATCAAGATTAAAACCAAGATCGAATATGCAACACAAAGACCAAATACGTAAGACTAAACGAAGAAATATTACTTCCCGTGGATTTATGAGTTAAAGTATTTGAAGCAATTTTAACAATTTCAGTATTTAAAATTTTCAGTTTGCATTGCTAGATTTTAACACTAAATATAAAAAAAGGGATCTACAATTCTTTATTCCTATGTCTAGATAACACATGGTTGAAATAAAGTGACAAACTACTTTTTTACTTATTGACCTTGTACTATTATGTTCTCTAAAAGGACAATTTATGCGTTGGAGCAAGGATAATTTCTTGAGTTTTCATAACTCTGACAACTATTGTTATTATTTCCCATATGTGACAGAAAATTCCAGTAGTTAGGACTATTATTGTACCGGTGAATACAAAAATATGTGCTTAGAAGGATTGTTAAAAAGAAACGTAAGCATCAGATTAAATGAGCAAGACCAAGACGTAACATGCAAGTCCATGGCCAAGACCGAGACTGTATTGGTAAGACTAAGATCATGACTACAATCAAGATTAGAAGTATTTGAGCAAAACCAAGACCGAATAAGCACGACCAAGATCAATTCCAAGAGAAGGACATTCTTGGCTTGATCTTGCTTTGTTCATTACTGGGTCGGTTAGCTCCATAACCTTTATCCGGTAAAGAAGGTTCATTGAAAACTGATAAGTACCTATCAGATAGAGTCTTGAATATGAAATAAATTGTTAAAAACGCTCATGTAGAATTTCTTTGATAAAATATTAGACCACCATAGCAATATCATATTATTAGAGAGGAGGCGACTTTTGTGAAGTTATTGGAGTTTTTGGAGATGATTTAAACTACAGGCTATGAAAACAGCATTCTTGCATTGTAATTCATGTTATGCTCAATCGGTGATAGCATGCTATTTACCTAATTATACATATTAATTTTTAAACTGTAGTTGGATCTCTACCATTAAATATCAATTAATGCAAAGGACAATGACTAATTTCTCGGTATATCATTTGGAAGGTTTTGAGCCCTTAATGTTTAGGCAGAAAAGAAAGTAAAAAAGGGTGGTGCATAGATCGGAAAATGGAACAGGGCCGCTCTTCATGAAAAATCTGAACACATACATTCGACCAGGGGCGCAACAAGAGGGGGTCCACGGGTGCCTGAGCACCCACTCGATTGGGTTGGGCACCCAGTCAATTCCAGTCGACTCAGATAATAACCCAACTTGAAATTTCTTTCAAATAGTTCAAGCTCGTAAATGAGCAGTCGAACTCGATCTTTTCAGCTTTTACACACCCGCAGTATATAAATATTTATAGTATTATGATGGGAGCACCCAGTCAAACTGTAACGTTGTTGCGCCCCTGTATACGACTTCTGATTGTAACATGATGCGATGGTCNTCCAAAAAAAACAAAATTAAGTGCGCGGACGTATTCCGAATGTCGACTGTGGCATATGGTGAAGCTACCTTGGACCAAAGGCAACGTTTCTCGGTGGTACAAAATGCTAAGGAGCTGTTGGACTCTGTCTGCGACAACCCAAATTGGCTCCAGAGGGTCATAACTAGTGAGGAATCATGGGTTTATAGTTATGACCTGGAAACCAAAGCTCAATCATCCCAATGCAAGCTACCGCACGAGCCAAGACCGAAAAAGGCGCGCCAAATTAGGTCGAATGTGAAGATTTGGCTTATAATTTTCTTCAATTACAGGGGCGTGGTGCATCATGAGTTCTTGTCAGAGGGTAGAACGGTCAATAAGGAATATTACCTACCAGTTAAGCGCAATTTGCGCGAAGAAATTCGCCAGAAACGCTCGGATTTGTGGAAGAACAAAATTTGGCTTTTGCACCATGATAACGAACCTACTCACACATCGTTGCTTGTGCGCGAATTTTTGGCCAAATACAACACACTAATAATGCCGCAGCCACTGTCCCTAGATAAAAATTTTCAGTCTCTCTCCAGTCTCTCAGAGTCTCTCTCCAGTCTCTCAGAGTCTTTCAGCGTCTCTGAGAGCGTCTCTCACAGTCTTTCACAGTCTTTCAGTTACTGCCTAGGTGTTTTTACGGATCTCACACATGAGAGACTCGAACGATAAAATTGTTAATTCAGAGATTCGAGTCTCTCACAGAGAGACCGAATGAATAAAACTGAAAAATTGAGAGACTCGAGTCTCTCGTAGGAAGACTGGGATCTCTGAAATATGTTGAACTTAGAAAATTTTAGCCATGTTTATCGAGACACCACTTATTGAGAGATTCGAGTCTCTCGTTCAGAGACTGGATACGAAATGAGAATCTCTCTATGAGCTACTCGAGTCTCTCGTTCAGAGACGCTAAACAGTTTTTTGACAGTCTCTCCACAGTCTCTCTCAGCGACATTAGAGACACTCGATGAGAGACGGAGAATAGAGTCTCGCTTTCAGAGACTCTGAGAAACTGAATATTTTTATTTCGGGAGTTACGATTTCGTTTTCGCAAAGCTGAGATTTCGAGGACGTAAGGCATTTTTGCAATTTGAACTCTTAATTTTACACTGGACATACCAATGGCATCATCTGTTCAAACTCATTTTCAATCAGCTGGCTCTGAACACCAAAGTATCTGGATACTATTGAGCTATTCAGCTATGCCTCCTCCAGTTATCTTCAAAATAATCTATATTGTCATAGCTTGTACTGCTAAAGGGTTAATTTTTTTTCTGATAAATAAATAAATAAATCCCTAGTCTCGTTTTAAACAAGGATATCCCCTTTCTTCAAAAGTGCAATGCACACAGAGATAATACATATACAGTAAGTACAAGTTAGGTAAAAGATTGGTTCCTCAAAAGTATAGGCAGATTAAGTAATTGGTGCTTATTTGGGGTTCTTTACAGAGAAAACGTATCAGTGAAAATGTATTACATATTCCTAAACCAAATCGACCTTTGAAAAGCTCTAAATCGTTGAGCTTTTTTCGTAATCTAAAATCTGCCGCCCTTGGGCCGTGGCCTATATGACTTATTGGCAAATCCGATACTGGCGAAGTGACCACAGTAGCTCACCCTGGAAACCTTCATTTGCCTTTGCACGATGTTGTTGTCTATTGATTGTTTTCTATGAATATATAAAAAAAAGTGATGGCCATACGATATAGCTTCAAATTAACGTACTAACAAGAATATTGCATTAATCTCTGCGTAGAGGAAGAAAAAATAAACAGTGTGTACCACATGTGTATTTTGGCTCAGGAGCACTTATTGCGATCTGCAGAGAGGTTAGCGGTGAGTTTAAAATGAACGAATTGAACGTACAAAATTATCAATTTATATTCAATTTTATGTTGGCTACATTATATACTTGCCTGAAAAAGAAATTAACGTTTGCGGCTGGTTATAAAATTTAAAGAAAAATATAAATGGGTAGTGTTATTAAAAATTAAAAATAGTCATTGAATTATGAATTACTACAAAACCCGTAATGGACGCTAACTGTAGAACAAAGTTCAAATAGTGGTCAGTAGTCATTGAATTGCTTAACAAATTATGATTTATTATTAAAATTTCATTTATGTAATACCACGGAGCTTAAATTCTATTATTTCAATGTGAGTGATATTCAAAGGTACGTTCGAAAATTGGTAAAATACAAAAGAAAATATTCCTTTACTCCAAAAAGTGATAAGGGTGGCTAGAATCCCAAACATACTTTGTTATTTACAGAAAAATATTATTCCAATAATTTGCTTGAGTAATTTTCAAAAAATTTTTGGTGGTCCAGTTTTTGATTTCGCGCGGTCCGAACCTGGATCGCGGTCTGTCAGTTGTAGACAGTTGCTTTAGGAAGTGAAGCAACATATATGTAGATTTAGAAGTTACGATTTCGTCTTCGCAAAGCTGAGATTACGTGGATGTAATATATTTTCGCTATAACCACCGAGGCCATCGCTGCCAGTTTCTCCTAGAAGGTGATGAGCAAGAACCCCCTAAAATCCTGTAGTGCGAGCGGGATCTATCTTAGATCTAGTAAGCTCAACCCCGATATCCGCTTACTAGTCGGATACTTACTTTTCTTCCTTAGCTTGCAATGCCAACTAATGCCAATAGTTCGGCTAGGCTAGGTTACGTATTACATACACACATATGTTTTATATGCAGATAACTATTTGGTTCCAAGTTTTTATTATTTTATGAAAATGATAAATTACCAGATAAACTAATCTACATAATTCTTCAAGGTCCGATTGTGGTAAAATTTGGCGAACAGTATTCAGTATGCCTGCGAAAAGGATTTCTATTCATTTAGATACTGGTCGATATTCTTGCTCTTTTTGTCCGTTTCTCAATTCGAAAATGATACGACTGATAATGGGCATCCGTTTCTAGTAGTGTCTGGCTGTAGCAATGGCAAAGTATCGCGCGTAGGCAGGGGGGCATGCGTCAAAATTTCTTTGGGCCGTCCGCCGTTAGCCGTCGTGGGGTTCCGCGCCGCGGCGCGTCGTCAGCTGCGTTAGCAGACAGTAGGACAGATAGTTGGTGGCCTGGCGCTCACGGTGAATGTGCCACCTAAACAGTCTTTTGGGCTTGGAGCCGGAGACAAACTGTAATAAAATTGAACCGCTCAAGACTTCCGTAAAAACAATAGTTATTATTATTAAAATTAGTAGATAGTAAGGTACGAACAGCCTTGCGTGGTGATAGTTACGTTAAAAATTTCAGTATCTTATAAATATCTAATAACAAAATAATATTAAATAAATTCGGAAAAGATGACGTTTCTGCACGGGAGTGCATCGGAAGAGCTCGTCTCTGACTTGGTGCGCAACAGAGAGATATGCCACTGAGGCCCCACGTATACACATATGTCTGTCAGGAGCCTCCATCGCCGGGTGTCTGGACCCGGGGGATACGTGCACCACTTCTACAACCAGTAAGTGTTTACAAATGGCGATGGAATAGAGTAGTAGGGGTGTCGCGGCGACGACGCTGGCGACGACGACGACGACGACGTCCACGGACGGACCAAGTGGCGTCGTCGGCCGTGTGGTAGCAGCGCCCCTTGTTCTCTCTCACGCATTACGGACCCATATCGCCTCATCCCTTTCTGTTACGTAACGGTAACCGTTTCGACTGTCACGGGTACAGATATCGTGTTATGTTTTTGCTGACGGAGCGAAACAAGATCGCGATCCATATAATACGTACCTACATACAAAAGGGCCTAAAGAGATTTGCACGCGTGAAAAGCTTTTGTTTAAACGATCGAACTTTCTGCCCTTTCTTTTGTCCTTTACACGGATTTTATGCCTTGTCGTAGAAAGTTCGATAAGATTTTAATTATTGAAAATTGAAACTTTGTTCGTTATCAATTTCTACTGCTCTGTTCGTTCTCTGTGTTATTTTCAATGATAATAGTACAAATTCATGGCAATATTTTTGCAAACAACTACTTTTTCAGGACATAAATAATTTAAAATTTCCTTTTCTATTTAAGATCTTGACTTAATTTAACAGATATTAAATTGATTCGAAGAGGTGACCCGATTGGAACATTACCTGTATATTGATCATAAAGATAACTACATATAGGTATTACCTACTAATAAAAATTTTGAAATTCTGCAAATGATAGTTTTGAAATGTTTTTTGATATAGGTACAAAATACATACATACATCCACGCTTATTTTAACCATCTGCTTGTAATAATAATTAAATAATTTCGAGTATTTTACAATTTGTAATTGAATATTATGCATGTCCAAACGGAATAAATTACAAATTCAAATTAACCTCTAAAAACAATGCACACAAGATTAAATTGATTGGTTAATGTTACTCAACTGCAGCGGATTGAAATATTTTAATGTTGTTATAGAGAATTTCACATTTAATAATAATACTTTAAGCCGAAGTGAATTTATGGTAATTTCGATGATATCAGTAATTGTTTTAAAACCTATTATTGTGTAATTAATCTTCTAAAATTAGGGAAACGTAGTATATTAATAAAATACAAGGATCAGTACGAAACCAGTTGGTAATAAAATAAAGAAAATTAAATGTCCTTTGTTTTAATTATTTTATTATCTCTAAGCTTCTAACTGGTTTAACTAAAATGTTATTCTTTAAAAAAATTACTGCAATATTAAGCAGATATTTAAGGATAATCATTATCTTAAAGAATAATACGTACCTACTTGTGTACGTTGACAATTAAGCGAATCTACGGTACCCTGTTCTGTAATATACAGGTACTTATATACTCATTGTGCATTACGAATAGGTAGGATGAGCAAATGGGAGTAAACAGAGTATGATCGCATTAGGTGTAGCTAGGAAACCGCTTATTGAAATAAGTCAATATGATGTAGCATGTAAATCTTCGTGTGATGTATGACAGATTGACTTACTGAACATTGCGAACATATGATATGCAAATGAAAATGTAGGTTATTTGAATGACTTAGCTTTTGATCAAATTGAGTTGGTCTTAATGCTGTAGATTTAAAATTAAAAAAAAAATAAACTGGACTCACTTTCCACCTAATTTCCCACCATAAATTAGCCTATATGTTGGTACATAGTAAAGTATGGCAATTGGAAAATGAAACAAATCAGTCAGCATTTTCTTTTCATTTTTTATTTTTGAAGTGAAAGTTTTTTGGGCTCGATGAGAGTAAAATCTCAAGGCCATGAAACGACACGTTTTGCAACGTTTTGTCTCGCGAAGCGATAAGCAATGAGAATTGAAAGGCGCGCATGCGCATATCGGTATTACAGTCGGCTGTTAGTGATCGGCATATACAGTGCTAAATAATTTTTTGGTTATATCTGTGCAGTTATTAGTTAACAACAATTAGTATTTATTTAAGAGTGAGTGTTATTATGTATTAATTCTAATTCCTTGTACTTGACCATTTTTTTGTGATTGAATTACATAAAAACGTATTAAAGTAATACTCCTTAGGTGGACTAAAAATAAAATAACATAAATCCTGAAAATTCTCGTACTCTCTCATTCTTTCACCAATCATTACTTATTCGTTATAAAGGTATAGACATCGTCAAAGAAGTTTCACTTCTTTTACGTGTACAGTGCATCTGTTTTTTTTTTGTTTTCGCGGAAGAGGGGAAATCTTCAAAAGACACCCAGCCGTCCGTACGACTGGGTAGGGGTAGTCTTGGATTCCAGAGGAAGAAGTCCTAGGACTTACCGACCAAAACTCCTCTACCTCAAGCCGTTCTGGGACAATTATTTCGGGTCCTCTTCAGAAGTTTGGATGTTAATTTTAATGTGTCTACCTAAAAATACTACCTATTCCACAAATTAATCGTACAAATCATCAGTTGAAATCAATAGATATACTGAATAATTAGAATTAGTCAGAATGATTAAAGAATATATTTTCTGTGACCGAATATTGACATTTAAGCTCACCCAAAAAGCCAAAATTCTTTATTGTAAATTAATAATTCAAATTACACGACAAGATTCTGGGTATTAAAAGTGGACCTTAAATTTTAAGGAAAGAAAAGAATGCGGAAGAATTTTCAACTAAAATTAAAGATTTTTATAATGAAATCAATGACTATTTGAAAATGTGGATTGAACCATTTGGGGATCTAAAAGTTTTCGACTGGATTGATCTAACAGGGTCTGATCTGCTAGATTGGAACAACATTGAAAAATATTTGGTCTTTTTAAAAGATCATAACATTGAAATCGACGACGAAAAATTATTTGACGAGTGGGTTAATTTGAAAAATTTTAGCACAAATTTGAATCTTACTCAAAAAGACGACAGCTTAAACGCCTTGTGGCTAACATATTTCAAGCAATGCATTTCTGAGGAACAGTATGCAGAACTACGGAAAGTGGTTGAATATGTATTTAGTATTCCGGGTCATAACGCTAATGTCGAGAGAGTCTTTTCCCTCATAAATTCACAGTGGTCAAAAGAAATAAATCGATTACTGGCAACAACAGTAGCTGCAATAATCAAAACTATATATAACATAGATATGAAGTGTGATCAATTTTATAATTATTTGCTTACTCAACCACAAATACTGAAGGAAATTAATGGGATTGAAAAATATAGTAAAAATTAATAAGTTTATAATATTAGAATGATACTATAACTAACCTAAGTTTAAGAAATTTGTTACAAACTAAAGTGTTTGTTTTATATTTTAATAACTAGTTTTCAACTCGTATTTCATCCAAATACTTTTATTAAAAAATGTGATTACTTTAATTAAATGCGTCCTGTTTTTAAACTGAATTGTCCTGGTTTTTCCAACTTCAAATCCTGGTTTTTTAAATTTGACGTTGGCAACCCTACCTTAAAAGATCAGTTGCATCTTTTAATTGGACGTTATAACAGTCCACTTATTTCAGAATATATTGTTAGAAGAGATACCTAGGTACACAGATTTCTTTTACAAACATACACACCTTAAAACATTAGCTTATTATACATTTATGATTGTTTCGCTTTAGAAGTCTTTCGAAGATGCCCTCGTAGGCGAAAACAGTTGTTAACAATAATTAAATAAAGTTGTGGAAAGTGAGGGTAGCTATTTTAATTTTAATTTTAAAATAATACAGTTTCCTAAAATTAAGGCAGATGATAATTAAAGAATAATTAAGAATACATTTCCTGTGTTGTTAAAGGTAACACAATTACCTAGAATTCCATGAATACATTTCAAAACCAGAAACATACGTTTTGACATCCAAGATGTCATCCTCAGAGATTAGATGACCGCGTGAATGCCGAAACCCCTTTCAGTTTTTTAAATGTATTTTAAAAGTTGTGATTAAAAAAGGATCTAAAAGGTACGGAAAAAATAAGGAAGAAACAATTCGCTCTTTAAGAGTTTCTAACAATTGCTTTGATCTAACTGTTTATTTTATTAAAGTAGTTTATTTAAATATAATATTTTTTGTGTTTCTTAATAAATCACGTATATATTCGCTCTTCAAACTCCTTTTTGTATTTAGTGATGACTCATTCTAGGCTATTTTATTTTAGTTTTTTAAATAGACTTGTTTAGGTCATCTTAAATCATCTTGAAAAAACTGATTAGATTTTCTCATAATTGTATAAACTTATGGTTGGCTATGATGTAGGGGTAAGGATATAGCAAAACACAGATTGTGAGCATTAAAAGGCTGTGATGGAAATCTTTGTACATGACGTAAATTCCTGTTCGCACATTGGTAACAAAATATCCTTCACGCTTCATTCGCCATTCGATCATTTTCGAGTGTAGACTTAGCTTATGGTAGGTACATTTGGTTTAAAAGGCATCAACGACAAACCCCATGCAAAACGTGTCTAGTGAAAATTACACAGATCTATAAGGAAACATTGGAGGTGTACGCAATAGGTTAGGTATTGTAACTTTTCCTAAGAACTCGAGATCTATCTTTCCGAATGACGAAACTGCGTGACTGTCGTTGTATATGCGTGCAGTCAAGAAATGACAATAAATTTATTATCACTTTGACAAAACTCAGTAGTGCGCGCGAAGCCATTATAGCAATTCGGAAGTAGTACTTAAATCATCATCATAATGTAGTCAGTCCTAAGACTGGTTGGACACGCACCTCCACTGTTTCCTTTTCTGAGCTAATCTTCGTATTTACCTAAAACAACCCATATCCTTAACTATTTGCGAACAGTAATCCAATCTGGGTCTACCTCTACCCCTCTTAACTTCCGTTTCTGTCTCTAATATGTCTCTGACTAGACCTTGCCTGAGAAGGTGTCCTACTAACCTATCTCCCCTATTTCTTATTGACTTCCATACAGTTCTCTGTTCTCTTACTCTTTCTAATACATTTTCATTTCTAACCTTCTCTATCCACGGCTGATATGTTAAATGTTAGAATTATGTGACAAAGTTATGTTTGTTTCAG